CGCGCGCGCGCACACACACACACACACACACACACACACCACACCACACACCCCGGGATGATGAATTTGAAAACAGTGGTTTCTGCTGAATGACATCCTGCTTTAGTGGCTGGCAGGGTGATGGGGATGGTGTGAGATCTAAATGCTTCTCCCACCAATAGCTTGTAAACATTGAAAGCTGGTTAAGTAATGATGTTGTATCTTGGTCCTTGTATTTTGCGATGATTTTTTTCCCAGTCGCTCTAAAATGGTACAGTTCCCTATACTCTACATTAAAATTGCATTTAATCCCAGAATTTACTAGCCCTGCTTGGTTGCAAAATGGACAGAAGGGTTACTTACCTTGCTTTAATTGCTTTTCCAAGGCTACAAAGTGAACCTTTAAGACATTTGAGGGTTTTTTTCCCCCTGTCTTCATTGCAGTTTCTTTGAACAATCTTCTCTGGGGAAATGGTAGAAAATTTTAGTCACATTAAAGGACCTTTTTACCTCAGTGATACTGAGAAGCCTGCACTGAATTTTCTCACTATGTTGCTGTGTCTGTATGGTTGTGATTGGATGTTTAAAATTTGAAACCCACATAATGTTTTCCACAGATGAAATTATTATAATTTGTTAGAGCTTGGTGCTGTATTAGAGGGGAATGTTTTTAATGACAATTTTTTGAGATATAAGGTAGCCAATATTTTGGTAGATTTAATTCTAATATACATAAGGAGTACAGTTGAAATTCCAGTTTAGCTTTTCCTCAGACATTATTTTGGCTCCAATCTGAAGAAAGAAAATCTTCATAATCATCTAGAAAATGATCCCTCTTTTAGAAGGGCTTACTTGTTGCCAGATACATGGACTAAAGAAGGTAGTACCCACCCTTTGAGGACCCTAGAGTTTGAATGTGAGATTTAGGTAGCCGTATTATACAAAACTAGTACTTTACAGTGCCTCTCACAGGTTATACCATTTTTACTCCTGCATTTCTGATGTGCATCGTCAGTGTTCTTCACAAGCTGTATCTCTGTCTGGCACCTAGAGTAGTGTCTGGCCCAGTTTAGCACTCGGTAAACATCTGTGGAAGGAATGAAGGATGTCCTGAACTCCAGTAATTTTCCCAGAATGCTCAAAACATAATCTTCATTTTTGTGAAGCTGTGCGAGCCATAACACTTAGTATGTTAAAAGTATATCTTCAATTAAATATAATTAAAATATTTCTATAAAGATGTAAAACTCTCAGAATGTTCTCAGACAAGATTCCTAGAAAGTAGAATTAAATGTTTATAACATTCAGAAGAAGGTGAAGATGTGGAGAGGTTCGGATGGGTTCCCTAGGAAGAGGGCACAGCAGAGCCACCCCTTGACCTGGCTTTTGGACTAGCCTTTATGAATTATTCATGACAGCACAATAATACCCTAAACTTCATTTGTTCAATAAATATTTCATCACTGTTGGTAAATAATCCCATACCTCTGACTTTTCAAATATGTCTTGGTAGAGGGATAGGAGTAGACACTAAATATTTATTGGGTTTATATCATGGAAAGGTCAGGAACAGGAATATTTTAAGAGGACAGGCAGACAGTGGATCAAATGAAAGGAGGGAATTACTCAGTATTTAGAGAACAGAGTAGCAGAAGGAAGCCGAGGTTACCACACCCACATTGCAGCAGCTTCTTCAGGGGACAATGTGATGTGAAATGAAGATTTGTGAAGGAAGTGTGAACGCCAGGATATGTTTAGGGGATAAACAAGCAGCTCACTAGAAATTTAACTGAGGGCGCCATTCACGCACTGGGCAGCTTTTCTAATAAACCAAAAGTTCAGCAAATTATTCAGAACATTTCTTGCAGCTCCCATTCAAAGCTTGGTTCACCAAAAGTCAGGAATGGCACAGGAATTGATGACATTTGATTTAACTTCATTCAGCAGTACACTTTTGGAACAGGCCTTATGTTCTTATGAGTAATTTCCTATCTGGCCATATAAGATGTCAAATTTTAAAATTTTTCCTATGTACTTTACCAGTGTTTTAGTCAAATTTCAAAAACTATTAACATGAGTAATTATGTGAAACATAAGTGGTTTTGTTTATAGTTTAACAGTCCCGTCCCCCCCCCCCCGGAAAGGCTATTATCTAATCTAGAAGATTGATGAAAATTGAGTAGAGACTGCTTCCTTTACTTTTTTTCTCTTTCCTTTAAAAAATAAATTGCTAATACTCATTTAGCATATTATGTGCCAGGTGAAGTTCTAAACAATTTACATGTGTTTTCTAATGTTATCCTTATAATACCCTAAGAGGTGAGGTAGATGTTATTATTATACTCATTTTTAAAGATGACAACATTAAGTCCCAGAGAATAAATAACTTGCCTGATGTCCCACACTAGTAAGTAATAGAGCTAGAATTTGAATCCAGATAGTCTGGCTCCAGAGTCCATGGTTTTTCATCACACTCTTCATAATTACCCCATATACTATAATTACCTCTTAAGAAATGTTAATTTTCCATAAGCTTTTTATTAAGAAGTTATGATTTGATCAACTTGAGTTGATTTCAAATTATCACTAAAATTATGTGCTCTTAAAAAAATTAAATAGGCATGCAGTTTTTTCTTTTATTCGGTTCTAGTCCACGTCATTAAGCTCATATTTTAGATTCTTGTTGTATTAATAGACCTTGACAGTATCTGCTTGGTGTGGATATTGGGCAAAGTTTGAAAATCTAACTTTATTTTCATCTTTTTATACTGTGGAAATAAGTCTAGATTGGACAGTTTTCAAACATTTTAGCATTTATTTAGTATGGTATTTATGGTATATTATTTGTTTTAAAGTCTAATGATGAATGTTATGAAAATCTGTAAGTTAATATCTAGCATTCATATTCAGTACGTACACCCCCTAAACACACACACAGACACACACTGTACCATCATCAAAACAGAATCCAACATTGATTGTTGCTGTAGGTATTTTGTTTTAAGGTAGTGACTTACTGTTACAGTTAATATTTAGCCTGGACTTCCTTAGACCTGGATTTAAAATAAATGGGGGTCCTCCAAACAGTGAGAATAGTCAGGAAATTTTAATTTTTAATACTTTCTGTTTCTCTGAGCAATGAAAATGGATATTTGTGATATCCCTTCTAATAGCAGTTGAATTAGTTAGAAGAGGGACTTGCTGTGTATGTTTCAAATACTATTTTAATTTATTCAACAAATATTTACTGCAGGCTTACTGTATGCCCAGCCCTGGGTCTGTAGCAGTTGCTAGGAAGGCAGTCTGCACGTCCTTCTTATGAGTCTTCTACTAACGAGGGGAAACACGGCAGTCTCTCCTCTTGTGAGTCCCTAGCTCTTTACTTAACACCGAGGTAGTAGCAATTACTATCATCTGCTCAGTCTTGTCATCTCATATGTATTGTGTCCCTACAACACATCCCTAGGAGTTTGCGAGTTTCCTGGAAATAAAAACCGTGGCTTACTAAGGTTTGGACCTTATTTGTTCTGTGTTTGCAATTGATGCTGGTGAATTGTTCAAATAAGGGATTGAAGCACAGGTGAGAAGATTGGAAAGTCTGCCCCACGAGAGCAGGGATGCCTTTGCCTGTTTTGTTCACCGCTGTGTGCCCGGGGTCTAGTACATTGCCTGGAATGCAGTAGGCACTTAGTCAACTTAAGGCCAAATGAATTCACATCAGCTGAGATTTAGATTTGGGTGGAGTTTACAAAGGGACAATAGTTGAAGGCATTTATTTATTAATTTAACCAGTAGTTCTGTTAGATCTCCATACACTATGGACTGTGTTAGGCACTGGAGATAAGGTCTTAGCCAAAACAGATTCTTGTGCCAGAGTACTAGATCTGTAAAGGAGAGCCAGTTTTCCAGTGAGAATTTTGGAGGGACAGCCACAGTAAGCAAGAGGATCTTTCTGTCTGCTACTTCATTCCATTGTCTGCAAATTGAAACTCTGGAACTAGAAGGGGATTGAGGTCACATGAACCAAGAAAGGAATGTCTTTGCAAGACAGGCTGAGTGGTGTCAGGCACTGCCTGGGGTTGGAAAGGATATAGAGTGGAGGAAGTTTATTACCTTTGATGAGAGAGAAGTCACCTAGAAGGAGTGTGTAGATAAACCAGCATCTTCATTCACATGTACTGCTAGTATACTGTTAACAGAGCTTTGTTAAAAAGCTCTTATGGTTTGGGGCGCCTGGGTGGCTCAGTCGTT